TTGTTGTATAGTACGATATCAGGTAACCATATGTGCTCTGAAGGTACGTGAAGGGTTTGTACACCGCCGTAGTCTTCTGGATCCCAAACTAGCTTGTAGTCTTTCCATTCCTGCAGAGAAGAAGGTCAAAAGTGAGGTCATTTGTGAGGAATAATGAGATTGGGCGATCGTGTGTTATTTCTAGTGCTAAAGGAAAGGAGAGAGAATCGAAACAAAGTTAAAGATTATGAATATTGTTTAGTTGGGTAGTTACTGTAATTAAGAAATGGAAGAAAGGGAGAAAAGGGAGTACTTTCAAGGGAAAAGAAGGTTGTTTAGGTGGTATTTCCCATTGTACAGGAAAGGAGAAAAATAAAATAACTACAAGAAATATGGGACTCGTTTATTTGTCTTCATTTATGAGAACTTTTCTTCTAACTGCCAAGCAGAATTGAATTATGACATTTGACTTTAGACACACACACACACACACACAATGTTGGTATGGTGTCCAAGTATATCGTGAATTGCAATCATATTGCTGAAATTCGCAATTAAAGATAGAAAAGAAGAAAATGAAATGATAATGAAAATAATAATGTCTGTAGTAATAATGTCCATATCAGTAAAATAGGAATAATAGCATTAATACTCGGAATGCTAGAAAGTAAATATTATTTTAGCAATGCTAGGAATGATACCAATATTGATAATAATAAAAATGATAACAGCCATAACAACAACAGCCACAAAACCAGCAGTAATAACAACGATAATAATATTAATGGTAATAATAATAATGATAGTAATAATGATAATAATAATGATAATAATAATAATGATAATGGCGATAGTAATAATGATACTAATGATGATAATAACAATGATAATAATGATAATAATGTTAATGATAATGACAACAATAATGTTAATGATAATGACAACAATAATGATGATAATGACAATAATGATAATGTTAATGATAATGACAACAATAATGATGACAATGGCAATGTAATAATAGTAGGAATAATAATAATGATAATCAAAATAATGAAAATAACAAAAAAGGATAATGATTATGCTAATGACGATAATAATAAAATTATAATAACAGTTATGATAATAATAATAATAATAATAATAATAATAATAATAAAATAATAATATAATAATAATAATAATAATAATAATTATTAATAACAAAGGATATGAATAATGAAAACAACAGCAAACAAGGCAAAAATTCTTTCTCTGTTTCCCGGTTTTCACGAACAAGCCTTTAAAAACTTTTGGAAATAAGCCAACGTTATCTTTGCAGACGGTAATCGCGTTTAAGACAATTATCCCAAATAAGGCACGAATGAGGCAAGAATTCGCCTCCATGGACGACTTTGACAATGGAAATGTGTTAATGGTAATGGTAGTGAGGATAATGGTGGAAGTAATGAAAATGGTGATGATAACGAAATATGAAAATATGTTAATGATGATAACGATGAAAAAATGAAATGGTTATGATAATAACGATGGAAATAATGAAATTATGATGATGATTAAATAATGAAAATGGTGATGATAACAATGGAAATAATGAAAATGGTTATGATAATAACGATGGAAATAATGAAAATGGGATAAAGTAATGATGTAATAACGAAAATGTTATAATGATCAAGGATACTGTATGACTTTGTAGTAAAATGATGAGATAATGATGATAATGATATGAATGTAATGATAATGATGATAGGATATGTGATGGTGGACAATGATAAAAACATAATGATTATAATTACAGTGATAGTAAAAAAAAGTTAATAATTACAATAATAATAATCATTATCATAATAATAATAATACTGATAATGCTGAGGATAATGATGAAGATGAAGATGATGAAGATGAAGATGATGATGATGAAGATGATGAAGATGAAGATGATGATGATGAAGATGATGAGGATAATGATAATAACAATAATAATAGCAGCAATAGAAATGCATACATATTTTTCTTTTTAAATACTTAGAAGGCATCAAAGCTTAATTTTCCTTCTGCATGGTCTACCTTGATGTTATTCACATATTGTTTCTTCATCAGAAAAAAATAGGTCCTTTGCCTTTAGAAAAGATTTCTTTAGATACGCTAATTATATTTACTAGAGAATAAAGACATTATTTTTTTAGTCTAGAATGTGTACTGGAGAGCGTTTTCTTGCATGTCTCACGTGGAGTTGTATACATATATATATATATATATATATATATATCTATATATATATATATATATATATATATATATATATATTATACATATATATATATATATATATATATATATATATATATATATTTTTTTTTTAGTATATATAAGTATCAACTATCAATAGATAGATGAATACAAACATAAATAGAAAAGAATTAATCCAATTAATATTAACTGGAATTCAATTCTTTAAAAAACAACATACAAAACAAGTTAAAAACAAAAAACAAACGTAGAAGTAATCTGGTCTGGACAAGGCAGCAACACGTGTATTGTAGGACCGCCCCCCCCCCCCCCCCGCCCCTTGGCCCACCTTACCCCCTCCCCATTCTTCCTTGTCCAATCCCCTCCGCCTTAACCATTACCTCCGCCACCCCCTCCCCTCACTCCCCCTCTCGCCCTCCCCCTCTCTCCTAATTAGTCTTTTTCGTGTTCTATTTCTTTTATTTCATTTCTCTCTTACTTTTTTGTGTGTCTCTCTGCCTGTCTGGCTAGCTGCCTGGCTTGTCTCTGCCTCTTTGTTTCTCCCATCTTCCACTCTCTCTTCCCCCCTTCCTTTGCCCCCCCCTCTCTCCTCTTTTTTCTCTCCTACGCTATTTTCTCTTTTTCTCACTTTATTTCCTTCCTTCTCCTTGAAGTAGTAACAAATACAAGAACTCGAAAAATCTAATTTTTTTTGAGATAAGTTTGTTGCCATATATAACAATATATTAAGAACAGCAATGCAACTCTGGCGACAATGGCAGTAGTTGTCAGTTATTTCTCCTGATTAATCTAACAGGTTCATCGTCATAACCATGGTCGAGAGGCTAAGATGTCGCTTCCCCTTGCCAAAGTCACCTCACTTCCCCTCACTTCCTCCTCACTTCCCCTCACTTCCTCCTCATTTCCATCATGGTGTCCTGAATGGAACTGACACCACCCTTGAGATAAAATATACATAAGGTCAATTGAGAACACCACACACACACACACATACACAGAAGAGAGAGAGGAGAGAGAGAGAGAGGAGAGAGAGAGAGAGAGAGAGAGAGAGAGAGGAGAGAGAGAAGAGAGAGAGAGAGAGAGAGAGGAGAGGAGAGAGAGAGAGAGAGAAAGAGAGGAGAGAGAGAGAGAGAGAGAGAGAGAGAGAGAGAGAAGAGAGAGAGAGAGAGAGAGAGAAGAGAGAGAGAGAGAGAGAGAGAGAGAGAGAGAGACGAGAGAGATAGAGAGAGAGAGAGAGAGAGAAAGAGAGAAAAAAGAGAGACCGCACAAAAAATCTGGTCGCTCGACATATTCCCCCACAAGTAATCTATCCCAACGCGATAAGTATATCACCCAGCCCTCTCACCCACCATCACCAATCATTCCGCTGGCCCACCCACCCAAAATCTTGCGTGTACATCGCTCCGGTAAGAACAACAACAAGTACAACAAGTACAACAACAAGTACAACTTTCATCCCGTAGAACGAAAAAAAAAAATGACGTCGACTCTTTTGTACCTTTTAGAAACAAAGAACATTTATTGTCTGGAAAATCAAAACGAAGGGCGCGCGTCTGGTTGTTTCCCACACAGGGCCTCACACAAGAGCGACCGCGTATAGGGGAGGATTTGCGTGCGTGTAGGGGAAAGGCGGAGGAGGGAGGAGGGGGGTGCGGAGGGGGTAGGGAGGAGGGGGTGGGGAAGGGAAGGGGAAGAGGTTGATGAGGGGTGAGCGAGAAAGGGGAGAGAGGGGGAAAGGGGGGAAGAAAGGGGAAGGGGAAGGGAAGAGGGGATGAGGAGAAGAGGGAAGAGAAGGGAAAGGGAGGATGGAGAAAGGGGAGGGGATAAGGGAGATAGAGGGAGGAGAGAGAGAAAGAGAAGGGAAAAAGAGAGGAAGAAGAGAGGGAAGAGGGATGGGTAGAGGGGAAATTAAGAGAGGAAGGAGGGAGAGGGAGGTAGAGGAGAAAGGGGAAAAGGGCAAAGGAAGTAGAGGTAGTGAGTTAGATGGCAAGAAATGAGGAATAAGAAAGGAGGTCGACAGGGAAAGAAGATGGGGGAGAGATTGGGAAGGAAAGGGAAGGTTTAGTAGGGAGGAACCGGAAAGGAATAGCGTGAACGATAGGCATGAGAAAGGTAATACCAGGGAGAGGGAAAAGGGAAAATGAAGAATAAAGACAAAAAAGAGAGAGAGAAAAAAAAAAAGGAATTGATGGGAAAAGGGAGAAGGAAGAGTGATGGGGAAGAAGAAGATGAGGAGAACAAATAGGTGAAGACACAGTATACAGGGAAACAAACCCAAAAGGAGACATTAAGTAAAGGGAGTTTTTAGGGTGAGGACAGACGGGAGGGAACCGCATAAGGGGAATTGGGGGCAGGGAGGGCGGACGGAGAGGCAAAGGACACAGAAGGGGTGGGGAACCTAGGGCGTGTATAGGGCCAGGAAGAGGAGGGAGTGTGGTCGCTGTGAGGGAGTATGTTTGCTCATGTTGGGGCGAACGGTGGCTGGACGCATAGCCTAAAACGAAGTGTGCAATGTGTATACACCGTCATTACACAACTCAAAAAGTGAAATAAAACTATGTGTATCGTCGATTAGAAAATATTTTTGTTCGAAAGAGTGAATGAAACGATTCTTCAACGACAATGATTTGGATTTGCTTTAGTACGAAGAGTAAATACTAAATGTAAAATGAAAACGTGCTAGTAGGGACTTAGCTGGTAATCAGGAATTTTAATCATAATGATATTGAGAGAAGAGAGAGAGAGATAGAAACAAATATAGATCGATAGATAGATAGAGAGAGAGAAGGAGGAGAAGAGAGAAGGAAGGGAGGAGGGAGGAGGGAGGAGGGAGGAGGGAGGAGGAGGAGGGAGAGGAGAAGAGGAGGAGGAGGAGGGA